CACATGCAGTGTCTCACGCAGTCACACAGTCTCTCACATGCAGTGTCTCACGCAGTCACACAGTCTCTCACATGCAGTGTCTCACGCAGTCACACAGTCTCTCACATGCAGTGTCTCACGCAGTCACACAGTCTCTCACATGCAGTGTCTCACACACAAACACAGTAACTCACTCTTTTGCTTGCTCCAACTTCTTTGCTGCCTCTTTCTTCAGCCTTTCTTTCTCCAGGTATTCTTCCAATTCCCGCCCTTCCAGCTTTACCCGTCTCCTGATCTAATTTGTGCAAATTATATACATATAGATAAAACAACTCACACATAAAAATTACACTGAGAAGAGGCATCACAGGGTCCCCTGATGACTCATGACTCATACCTCCTGCCAAGTATCTCTACCTGCACACAAGCCCATGGCTCACCTCGAGGTCAAGGATCCTTTCGCCCGGATTGTCGATCAGGTATCGAGCCAGGGTGCCAGGCGTGGTCCGGTATGTTAGGATGACCGAATTCTTGCCATCACGACACCACTGTATGAAGAGCTCACGGGAGAATCCAGACTCCAGGTCCGGCTGGCTGCACAGCACCACCTTGGGGCTGGACACGCGGGCCAAGTCAGCCAGGCTGTGGCACAGGGACAGGTGACGGAACTGGAAGGGGTTGTTCCTCTTGTCCTCGAAGCACCTCATCAGCTTGTCGCTCATCCACTCGACCTACGGAAAGGATCCCATCAGCCTGTCTCCCAAACCCGACTGAAGAGCGTAACCTGGGGTCTGAGACGAGCTGAGGGCAGACCTGCGACTTGGAGAACTCCACCACGTTGTAGCTGACGTTGTTGAGCAGCGCGAGGGAGTAGGCCCCCAAGCCAGCGTCCTTCGTCCTCCATATTTGATCGAGAAGCTGTGCCAGCTCCAGCACCCGGCCCGCGGTATCCACGGCGATCAGCACGTTCCCATCGCCGCGCAGCGTCTCCATCACATTGGCTGAAGAGCAGACAGTGACCATTTAGAGCAGAGGTGCCCAACTCCAGTCCTGGAGGGCCGGAGCCCTGTGTAGCTTAGGTCTTTCCCTGTTCCATCATAAATGATTCAGCTCAAGAGCTGTGTGGTAATTAGCACAAGGAGTTGAATCAGGTGTGTTAAATGAGGAGAAACCCAAAAACGGCAGGGTTCTGGCCCTCCAGGACTGGAGTTGGGCACCCCTGATTTAGGGTATACAACAGGGGGGCCGCTGAAGAGAACGGGGCAAGACGCCGGCGAGGCTTACTGAGAAGCTGCTCGTCACGCTGCTTCCGGCGTGGCTGCACGTACGAGGCGTTGAAAGAGTCCGTGATGAGCAGCGAGGGCCGGCTCACCATCTCCAGGGAGCAGCCGTTAAGGTGACTGTGAACATGCACGTGGGCCCCAGTAACACAAAGTCAGGCTGACAAGGAAAGCCCCACCGCAACAGAAGGCCATAAACGCCTTTCACCAACAGCTGCAAAACTGCAACACTTACATCTCCCTCTTATGGTTGAAGTCCACTGCGTACACGATCTCCTCCTCACCATCTTTCACAATCTTCCAGATGGTGCCGCCGATCATGTGACCCGCTGGCAGGGGAGTGATGGACAGGCCATGTCCCTTCCCTGAAGGTCAAAGATCAGGTGTTATACACTTGCATAAAAAAAGCCTCATGCGACCTCAATACAGTGAAATGTCTGCACTCCCTCACCTTTCAAATTGACGATCTGTGAATATTTTAATTGTTGGATTTTGTCAAATGCTGAATCCACGTCATCCAGGGTGAACAAGGTGAAGTCCTCAGTATTGTGGCGTGACTGGTGAGACATTCACTTGTGAGTCGTACCTCCAAAATCAGTTCACATCTAACTCCTGTGTGTTCTACTCATTTCTGCACCAAGGGGCTACATTTACATCTAGCAGAGACTTTTATCCACAGCAGGAGAGCAGGGTCAGCCAATCCCTATTTCGGGTTAAAGGCCATGATCAAGGAACCAACAGGCCAAAGGATTTGAACCAGGACCTTCTGGACACAGTCCTAACCCACAGAGTCACACACTACCTATAAGCAGTCTTAAGCATTTGCATGTCTGCAAGTTGCTCATTACTTTTACCAAGTGACTTATTGCTGCCTTTAGGATATATTAAGCATCACAGGGGCATGAAGGCTCATCGCCCACCTGATATAGGTCATACATGAACATCTGTCCCATCTTGTACACCGGGATGGTGGCATAAATGGTGCAATTGAGCCCCAGCTTTCCAACAGCATAGGGCAGAGCACCAAGATGCAGGGGGTCTGGATGAGAGAGCAGCACAGCGTCCACCTGGTGAACATGCCTGGGGAAGAGCAATGGGGAGGGAAGAGGGGGTGTCACAGATCAGATGGCATTTGAGGGCAACATGCCCAGTCAGACATACAGGGGGAAAAAAGGGCAGAGCTTCATCCCACCTTTTAATGGCATCAATGATGTCCATGGAGAAGCTCTCGTCCCAACCGCAGTCGAGCAGGAAGCGAAACTCGTCGACCTGCAGCAAGTAGCACAGTGCCGACTCCTCCTGCACCCCCGACAGAGCCGTCAGCTTGATAATGGACGTCATTTTCCTCCACTATGGAAACTGTCACAATGATAAACAGGCTGATTCACGCAGCAGTATACAATCTCCATAAATAGACTCTAAGAACGACCAGGCAACTCGACCATTCAAGAGCACCGTTACATCTCACAGAGAGTAAACCAAGTTTCGCTCACACATACAGTGTGTAAGGCTTTTTTGTGGGTGGTCACTGATCTCTTACGTTAAGTACCTTTTAGGTTAAGTATATCAATCGTCAGGGACCCTCTTTCCTAAACGAGCTCAAATATTTTATATACAAGTATGTTGATGGCCTATCAATCATAGTCCCAAGAGTAACTTTCTGCAAATTACGAAACGTTCAAAATTAAGACGCAAATACGTTATTTTACTATTTACAGTGGAGTACATTTCTAATACACTAAGACAAATAGTTAGGCAGTATACTAGCCAGTTATCTAGTTTTAAGGTTAGTTCAAAACTACACCTACAAACCTCAAATGGCTACACTAGTTAAATAAAATAAATCTTTGTGGGCATACAAAACGACGTAGTAACCCATGGTCAGCAATAGTAGATAAAAATATAAAAACTGTACAACAATTCTCAGGTAGTTGCATTCCTACCTCAGAGACACAGGGCAAATTTGGTAACTAGATAGCTGTTTAGAAGACGAATAAAATCAGAAACATACCATAAAAGCTCATAGGGACAACAGTTTTTTTTTTTTTTTTATAAATTATACTAGAGATTTTTAAAACGAGTAGGCAACATGTTGACGATATTTGAATTAACACCCGCTACAAAGAACCGCACTTTCTTCTGTTACTGGTTCGCCATTACTGATGCGTCAAAGGTGAAAGGGTTTTCGGTTGTACCATTCCTCCAAATGTCTTTCAATATAATATAGGTGAATAAAAATACATCAAACACATACTATCAAACATAGCCACATTATAATAAATATTAAAATCTGCTTCTACATTATTTGAATAGCTGTTCGTTTTATTTCATGTCATTTAACGCACGGTATATTATGGAGCCTCCCCAAAATGAGCTTCCTCGAGAGTTGGTTCAGTCCAATGTCCTCCGCCGTCAGCGGTAGATAGCAAACGAGGGTGAACTTGGAGGTTAAGGTAAAGTTTAATCCCATATCTGCATTAATCGCACAATGCTCCATTTATAATAAATATATTATGTCCTACGTTTGTTGGCATGTAGCTTTGTGTGATTTTTAAGAGATGCATGACTATTCTGCTCGGTATCTATTGCTAGCTAGGCTGTCCATCACGAGCTAACCCAGCCATATTGAGACGGAGTGGATTAGCAACAAAATATCATTCATTTGCAAAACCTGAATATACCAAATGTCCACATTCTAATTAGCTAGATTTGACTTGATTGAAATCAACAACACATGATAAGCAGATTTTTCTTTTAATGGCCCACTTTTAAAGTTCCTCGTGAAGTCGTAGCTGCTTACCGATATGTTGTTATTTAAGGCTCTTATCTGTAGTAGTTGAAAGTGGGTCTTGTATAGCTGTGCAGAATGATACGTGATCCATGGCAGATAACTGTTTTTACGGATTTGTTACCGCGTCCGACCCACATTAAAATTTTGTATATCAAAGCCCTGAGAAAGAAGGCCCTAGATGCGTATATCTCTAAGTACAGCAGAGCAAAGTGCACAAACAGGCGTTTTTGTCATTAATTCGTAGAAGTGAAGGAACTCATTTAATGTTGGTTAATTAAATATCAAATCATTTGGAAGTTCGGCACATGAATTGTGTCCATTATCGTTGTCAGTCATTAGTGACACCTCAGATATCGCTATTTACTGCCTGACAGAAGTCAACATTCAGCATTAAATGTGTAAATTTACAGTTTTTTTTAAGAGACATGGTTGTAAAGCGAGATCTTTTAATTTCTGGTACTTGATTGAATACAGAAATTATGGTGATCTTTCTATGTATTTGCTTTCTAATAAGTTGTGTCAATTTTACACTGACGTGTATGTAATAGAAAATAGTATGCATTTTATTTCTTCTTCAGGAAATATGGTTAACTTTGCGTCCATGCTGCGGGACCACTGGGTCAATGTGCTAGTGCCCCTTGGATTTGTGATCGGCGTCTACTTGGACAGAATGAATGACCAGAAACTCACAGCGTTCAGGAACAAAAGCGCACTGTACAGCAGGTTGGTGCATGTTTCGGTTATGAGGGAGCAATGTAAATATGCAACGTTAATACAGACCATAAGAGCCTCTTTTTAATTATAGGGAGCTGAAGCCCGGAGAAGAAGTTACCTGGAAATGATCTGCCTGGACAGGGGAAATATTTAACGTTCACACAATCACCGTAGAGATCACCATTGTCTCCTGATTCCTGCTTGGAGGACAGTCATACAAAAGGATGCTTTTCATTATGTAATAGAAAACGAAGTTTAAAATGAAGTTAGTAAAACATGTACTTGGTCCTTGGTGTATTTGGAAATGGTGAACGATGTATATAAATCTTTAATTAGCCAAACCAAACTGTATTTGATGTGTGTAATATGATTTGTCATTGCTATAAAACAGTATACCAAGGAAAAGCATTTCCTTTTAAAATTCTATGAAACTAGTTTTAAAAAGGGTGAAGAACATGTTTAAGTGCTTTTTTGCACTGTTTTTCCTCCGCAGTTCGTTCATTCTCAGCACTGATCCTAAGGGACCGGCCGGGCCCTTGGTCAGCACATGTGCCCTTAAGCACCACATTCTGCTCTGTTAGCTCTGCTATCTGCAGGCTCGGAGCGCTGTAGTGATGTAATGGAGCTCGAAAGGCTTCTTCAGAATCTCCTGCCAAAGTGGTTCCTCCCCCACGCAAGCGTGTATGAAGTGTCTCTAATTGAAATGTAAAAATAGACCTCAAAGATAAGAATATTTTTATGGATCCTGCCCCCCCGATACTGACAATGTATTCTATAAGCAAAGTGCTCGAAAGCGGTCAGATTAACACATGCTGTCATTTGTAATTTCAAAGAACTACAGCAATGTGAAGATTTTTCATTCATGAAAAGCTCTTATTCATTATCCAAGCACTTATCCAATATGGGGTCATGTTGGAGTCTGGAGATTATCCCAGATGGCATAGGGTCCAAGGCAGGGGGCACCATGAATGGAATGCCAGTCCATTACAGGGCAATGCCAGTCCATTACAGGGCACACACAATCAGACACAAATATAGGCAAAATAGAGAGGCACCTGTTAGACTAACCATGTCTTTGGACTGATGGAGGAATCCCACATGACATGGGTAGAGCATGCAAACTGCACACGCGGTGGAGAAGCAGGATTTGAACCTCAACCCTGGAGGCGTGAGGCGATGGCACTACACAATGTGCCATCTTCATCAAAAGATGTTTTAAGTGGGGATGGGAGAAACAGCTTCCCGGTGCATTAAATCAGGCAGCGACTGACACGTCATCATCATCCCGCCTGAGGGAGCCGTATTCCAGATTCTCTAGCACAAGCAAGTCTGAAGAGGGTTACAGCGGTTTTTGTTCAGAACCATTTTTGCCTTATGAAGAATACAGCAATGATAGAATGACATTAAATAATATATTAAAGCCATTCATAATAAAACATTTTAATAAGCGGGGAACTTCATGGGTCTATAAATCAAATCCGGGTGTGATTTTATTCCACGTAAGCTTAATGTTCATCAACGTATGTGTGGTGGAAGAGAGACTATACATTGCGCATACATTTTATATTTAAAAAAACTGAAGATTAATATTGTTGGGAAGAGCAAACAGGTGTTTTATTGTGATCATAATGATAAATATGAAGGAACTGTAATGAGTCCCTTCTGTGTAAGAGAATACAAACACAGCACTTAGTGTTTGTAGCCAGCAGAGAGTGGGTTACGTTTTGTTAGCTAAGCTGAGAGGACCCTTGGGAAAGGGGGGCTTGCTTATTTCCAAACATCCAGCCTTTAAAGTATTTTATGGTGGCAAGGGATGCACTCTTTCCCAGAATCAGAATAATTGCTTATTTGCATTTTTGTAACAAACTACAGGCTTCAACATTTGAGGCACGTTAGTTGCTGACTCAACTCTTTAAAACTTCTGAACCCATGAATAGAATTGATCCGAACACCTGTTCACCTCCAGAAGCCTGATCTCATTAAGCAACCAAGTAGGGCCACCTTGTGTACTTTAGTGCCAAGATGAATATTCATACATTTTATAAAATATAAATCAATAGGAGTACCCAGCTGCTGTTTATAACGTAAATCCCCAATCTCAAACTGACATTTGAAGCTTTGCAGCACCAGAAACTGCTAAAGCTATCCTGTTCACCTCAATTACACATGGATTAATCTTTGTGTTTAGATTAGTCAGTCAGTACCTTTTGCTTTTCTGGAACATGAGTTAAGAAGTTCAAGAAACAGGACCCTCAATACCCTTTTTTTGCCTGGAATTTTATTATATGACCACATACACCACAGGAGGAGAGATATCATCATGAGAACAGCAAGGCCTCGGAAGTCTGGACCAGTCCTTTCTCGAACAGCAGCTCTGCCAGGGACAGCTGGAACAGAGGGTGAAGGAGACAAGAAGACTCATAAAGAAACCATCGAACCCAGAGATGACATTGTAAGAATATGGTGACATCATCAAAGGTGTATAGACAAGCTGTATAGCACGGCCACTTCAACGGATCTCCTTTAGCAGAGCCGCATTCTATCTAAATCACCTGGGATGACACACTACAGGACATCCTCAACACCCCAGAGAGTTTTCATGAGGATTTCATGACCACTGCCTGGATGCCGGCAAACTTTATTTATTATGACCCAAGATGAGTGAAGATGCACTAGGAAGGCGGTCATATTAAGAAATCTTGCCTGCATTTGCTATAAATGTTTTGAAGCCACTGGAGAGTGAAGCAGGAGGTAATTAGGAGTTCTTAAATCCATTTTTTGTCTAAACATACATCCTCCTGGTGTATGTCACACGCTCCCAGATCTATAGCTGCCCGTCTTCAACAGGTGGGGTTGGTGACAGTATGAGTCGCATGATAAAAAATATTTACACATAACATCCAGCTAGTCTAACACAGGGCTGCTTGATTATGGCAAATTATTTTGGTCAATATCGAGATCACGATTATTTAACACAATTACTCATTGACCTTGGAAATATCATGCACTTTTAAAAAAATCTTGTCTTTTTAACAGTGGTTTTCCTTGAAGTCTATAGTTCAACTGAGAAACGAATAAGGGGCTGGAATGAGGTGGCTGGATTTCTAACACGACAAAATGAGAACATATGTGACACAATAATCGTTTTATCTTGATTTTGTTTTGATAATCGCCAGAAGCCAAAATCGTAAGTGAAATTAAAATTCAATTAATTGCCAAGTCCTAGTGTAACACAGCCAAACATCATTATGTGTATCTTTGTGTGTGTGTGTGTGTGTGTGTGTGTGTGTGTGTGTGTGTGTGTGTGTGTGTGTGTGTGTGTTGTGCGCGTGCATACAAGAGTCATAAACTCTACCTTGTCTTCGATGGTGTCACATGGCAAACTGCCAACAGAGACAAATTTGGGAGAGGAGCGGATCAGGAACTCCACGCCATCCGTGTGCTGTTAAGAAAGCGGGCTGACTTCAAGCCTGGGAGGAGCACTGAGCAGGCGTTTGAGGCACCCCAATGGAGGGATCACTCCCAGACCATCTACAGCCTTCATGACGTCACACTTAACCAGCACACCGGCTGCCACATGTGAGCAGTCATATATACACATTTGTGTTTCTTTGTAGCTTTCATTACATTGAAAGAGTGATGATGCTAAAGGACGGTGCCTTTTCTGTAGCATTTCATACAGCTTTCTGACTTACTGATACTGCACTGAATGATAAAAAAAAAAGATGGCAGCTACCTCAGGGTTTATTTCAAAGCACTTTGGCTCCTCCTTGTGGTAAACCCTGGAATTATCCACAGTATGATGCAGAAAGACCACGTCCCCCTCACTGCATAACCTGTTAATGTAAAAATACAGACTTCTCAGATTACACAGAGAAAATCCTCTTGATAACAAAAAACTAAGTAGACTAGAAAGAAGATGGATACCTATTTATCACTCTTATGCAAACTTCACAGTTACTGGTGTTTGAGATGATAATTATACACAATTGTAAAATAAATAAAAGTGAAAAATGATAGATACTGGTTGACCACAGCTTAGAGCTTTCCAGAAAGCTTCTGAAAGGAAGAAGTACCTGGCGATTCCATCCCGAATCAGCCGGATTTTGGTCTGAGCTTTTATGTGTGCCTTCACCTCCCAGGCCTGCCCACCTTCCCACCTGCTTGGAGCTCCCTGCACACTGCAGGCCTTTTCCTCTGCAAATGACAGCAGGCATGACCCGTCACTCACACGCTCCACGCACTAAGTCGATTCTTACTGCTGGAAAACAGCTTCCAAAGTGACCTGTCACTCAAAGCACAGGCTCCACCCACTGAGTGGATTCCTACTGTAGAGTACTGAAAAACAGCTTCCATAATGACCTGTCACTCAAAACCACAGGCTCCACCCACCCAGCTAATTTACCTTCAGCACAGACATAGTGGCTGCATAAGGATGGTCTGCAGAGAATTGCATTTATATCTGACAAACTCCTGTTGTGCCAGAAAGGCTTGGGCAGGATGGGGAGGGGTGCTGGAAGGCTGTACCTGCGGTGTGCACCGGGGGCAGGCAGTCATGCAGGAATTCCTTGGCCTTCTGGTCGACCGCGGCGTCCACCGGGGCGTAGCTGGTTAGCTTCTTCATGAGGCCCAGCAAGTGCTCTGTGAACTGGGCTCTGCGCGGGTCCTCCTGGTACCACAGACAGACACAGAGAGCCCATTAGCAGGATCATCTTCACCACAACTCTGTACGATTTGGGGGGGGAAAAGGGCAGAGAATTACCCCAAACCGGCCTTATCAGCAACCGACTATTAAAACAAAGATGTTGAAATCATTTTCGAAATGTCACACTGTTCGCACCTTGTCGGAGTTCTGAACCCCCATGTAGGTCAGATAATCCAGCGGTAACCCCTTTCGAAATTCCACATCCTCCTCCATGGCCATTTCCAAGGCAGCAGGGACAAGCTGTCATTCACAATATGGCCATTAGGGGACACCAGTGATACACCCATTTTTTTTCTATCAGTCACAGACAAGTGCATGCATGATGTGTAATCTCCATTTTAAGTTTAGCTGTTTAATTTCCTTTATGGTTCACAAATATTTTTGATTTCAGTTATTTCATAAGTGCACTAGTCCATGAAAAATCCTTTGCTTAAGAACTAGAGCTGGATACACAGGGAAATGTCTCATAGACATAAAATAAAATGACAAAATGAGGGAGGAAGGGACCTTGTGCAGAAGGTCACCCCAACTGTTTTTCTGGTAAGAGGAAATGGTGATGTGAAGCGAGTGATCATCGGGGAGACAGTCCCCTTGGTGGATGAAGCCGCGGGGGAAGTACAGGAGGTCGCCAGCTTCCAGGACCACCTCCAAGATTGGCTTGCCGATCTCTGATTGGCTGAAGTTGGCTGCAGAATGACAAGAGGGCAGGTCCGAAAGATGGGCGTGTCGATAAGGCTCCGTTTCATTTAGGGAGTCACTGCGTTTGTCTAAAAAAACTCCTCTCTGTCCTACCAAGAAGAAATACATTGTTAAAAACAGCATACTGATTTTTTAAAATATTTTTATAGAAAATCAAGGAGAACGCATGGCCCACATACATAGACACTGTCTGATATCCTACGGCAACAAGAATGTGAAGCTTCCTTCATCTCCCAGTTAGTCTCTCTGCTGTTGGGTTTGACTGGGATTCACAAAGAGTATTTACGTCTGCTCTAATTCACCACAGGTCCTGCCTGCTCGGCCATCGGGGGGGGAATTGAAAAATGCAATTATCCTTTCGGTATCGTAGCAGGCTGTGAAAGGGCTCAAATTACCTCTATGCGCACGTGCTCGTCAACAGGAGCGGAGGTAACCTAGCAACAGGCGCTGTCACGTGCAGCTATCAAAGGACCCGTTTCATCTCACGTCCTCAAATTTGCCATCACGTGAACCTGTGACCCCGTACACTGCCGCCGAATACGGCTATAAATAGTCTCCTGTTAATTCTAACTTTCACACCTCCACGCTCTGGCGTGTGTGCGTGTGCATGCATGTGTGTTGGGCCGACAGAGCGCTTACGGCTGGAGAGCACCGGAAGCACTTCATCCTCGGACCTGTGGAACAGCAGAGGCTTCTCAGTGACAGGTGACGCGCAGCTTTGCTCTTCATCCACCTACTGTTTACTCGTCGCTACATTACATTATGTCCGGATCTGCAGCACTTCACACAATCACCAGCCTCTCACCTGGGGTTATAAACCCGCCAGTGCTTCTTGCCCTCCAGCTGGATGACGAAGGCCTCGATGTCGTCGTAGTGGGGAGCAAATCCCTGTGTCCCCGGAGGCGTCAGGTACCTGAAAGAGAAGACAGGCCTGACCCTAAGTGGCTACACTAAACACTAAAATATCCCACAATCAAAAAACAGTAAACAATAGGGTTCTTTTCACTGGAGAGGCAACCAATCAGCACAAAGTTTTCAGCAGAAAAGGAACTAATAGGAAAAAAATATATAAGGAATCTAACTGAGGGGCCATGGCTTCCTACGGTGAAACATCTGGGTCACGTTAAATGGACAGAATTTCACAATTTAATGCTAGGGGGCAAAAAGCAGCTGTCATGTTAGAGAATAGAACTCTTCAATTTGAAAAATCCTCATATCACGGGGAAGCAGAGGGTCATGCTCAGAGTGAGAGATCAGCCAAACCCAGGGGCGGGCAGCACTCCAGCGGGGCCATGCTGGCCGGAGCACGGGGCTGGGGCTCCTGCTCAAATTCATCCAGCGTCTGAACTTACACGTTGGCGCCGGCCATGGAGCCAAACCGCTCCTGAAGGATGGAGAGCACGTTCCACACGGTGGACGAGAAGGACTGGGGGTTCAGAATGCGCAGGGAGCAGCCGCGCTGGGGGGTCCGCAGCAGCCACCGGCAACGAGAGGGAGAACGAGGGGGCCCATTTAGGAGACTGCAGGCGAGCGGAAGCCACAAGGCGTTCAGATGGAAGCTTCCAGCTCAAAGAACCAAGCGTAGGCATTATTTAATGCTGCAGGTCATTTACCTTGCAGGTTAGAAGCTGGAGCTGGGAGTGACATCACACCCAAGTTAACTATGTTCCAGTACAACAAATCAGAAAGCCAGGTTCACTTTTAGCCATTATCAGCAACAGCAGCTGATAACAACGCATTATGCGATATTTTGCACATTCAAACATCATAGCAACACATCCACAGACAGAGGTTGGACAGTATTGTGTGTGCGACCGATTTAATGAGCCACAAATTAGACGTAACTGCTAATAAACAGCTTTCACTTCTGTTGATGAAGGGTGCAGCCATCTTGAATTCTGAAGTCGGGGTTGCAGATGTGCGACCCACTTTCCGGATCAGAATTCCGACTTCCAAACGCACTATAATCCTTCACACAGTCCAGACATTATACCGCAGTATATGGTATTTTGACAGTACTTTCAAAAACATCATTATTCAGGAATTTTGAAATTTTGGTGATAAAATATTCTAAGTATGACTACCAAAACCCTGCAATACGGCGTATCACCACATTACCACAAAAGCCTTAGACAAGGTGAACAAAGAAAATGCACAAAAAGCTATGAAGCCATCGACATTTCAAACACAGCGACCAGCAGTGTGGGAAAGACCGTAAAAACGTATTCAACACCCAGCTCTTTCATTTCAAAATATCTACCATTTCTGAAGATTGTCTTATAATGAAAAAAAACAACTGAGTGAGAAGCAGATACTTGTCTGAAAGAAATACCACATGCCTCAGAGCCCAGAGGAAATGTCCGTGTGAAAGGGCCCACAAGAGTACCTTGTAGAAATCCCAGACAGCGAAAGGCAGAGCTCTGCCGGGGGGGTTGTGGGTCTCTCTCTGGCCATTAGTGTAACTTGTGACGTCCAGGTTCACTCCGAACTGAACATCATCCTGAGCAGCAACACAGAAAGAAGATTAAAATATTAAGGACAAAAATAACTTGGATGAAGCCACCAGTAGGGGGCAGTGTGTGGCTCAATAGATATTTCTCAAAGGAATAATACAGTGTACCTGCACTCATACTTGTGCATCATTTCCATTTCAGCAGACTGTTGCTAATTGCAAACAATCGGATAAGACCGGGAATGAACATGATATCACAGGAAGGTTTTTTCCCCTCCCAAGGCACCCAGCAAGGACTATGACAGAGTAATTAAAATGACTGATTTCTTACATACTTTTATGTGTGATCTATAGAGACAATATCTCTTTTCGTCTGCCAATCTGTTTTCGTGGAGACAGGTCATACACTATTGCCGTCAGGCAGCTTGACATTTAATACAATTATTTTTCCAGACACGAGTCAAAGCCCAAGGCATCAGGCCCACAAAAAAAAAAATTCAGACAAATAAAGACATAAGAAAACAATTATTTTTCGGTCAATTTCTTTCTAGCATCCAGGACAAATATTGAAAGCTGTGTTGAAAGCTAATACACTATGTTATCATACGGTACAGACTGCCGCGGAAAGATGGCGTAAAGAGAAAACAGAGTCTAGTTTAGCTACCAATCCACTTGGTATGACTATATCTGCCTATTTAGCCAAATATTTTTCCACTTAAATCTCCCTGGCCTGAGCATGTCATCACCGTGCAAATTTTTTGTGTTGAAGAGAACATAGAAAGGAAAGCACTGTCACAAGGCAGAATGGAATTCGTGATTCAAGTCCTTATTTTTTGGCTGATTTGGAGTTGTTTTGGGGCTAATGACATACTTCCTGATCTGTACAGCCTACCTGATCCGTTCCATCCAGCTTCGTGTATAGTGTGCATGCGTGTTGTCAGTCACATCATTGACATCGTGTCTGTTTTCCGTACCAGGGTACAAATAGCGATCAGACTAGAAGCATACCATGCCCAAATCCAGCAGAACCGTGGACTTCTTCAACGGGCCCAGACATAGTTTAGCAATCACACTAGTCAAACGAACTAGACATTGGGGGTCAAATGTGCTTGGCCACAGTATAGATCACCTAGTGTGAGTACACCCTGAAGCTACATAAACTTACTTCTCTCAAAATCCGATCGATCTCTGTGGTAGAAAACAGGCCCTTGTAATACTCGGGATTATGACGTCTGATTAAAGCTGGCTTCTTCTCCCACATCTCTCTGAAAACCATGGAAAAACATTGCTGAAAACCTACATTTAGACGTCTATACAAGAAACATCTCCTAGATGCGCTGGGACGCATCTTCAGTGATGTATCCTGAGGTTACGAACAGTGATTATTCTTAGTCTACTTTGCTATACAGAAGTGTTTATTATTAAATGAAGTACAGTACAGGAAAGATGACAAATTAAAATGTATTATTTATCTAATGGGTAAAATCAAACATACTAATCCAGTTACACTAGAAATACACTCCTATTACCAGAGTACTCATAAATATACAAGACAACAGTAAAGATCCAGGTTCTGCTTCACAGCTGTTCTGTGCACTAAATGAACAGTCTGTTTGTGGAACAGTGGTCTACTGTCCACAGGGAGGAGAGACCTGGTCTTTGACAAAAAGGTTACCAGTTGCAAGCAGAACGCGCTGTTGAACCTTTGAACAAAACCCAATCAAAACCACATACACATTTCTCATACATGTAGCCAATCAGTATAAAGTGGATTTGGGGATGCAAAAATGATGTTTGTCCGGGGAGGTCGGGGCCATAGTAGGTGGCGGACCAATTGACAGGGAATAAATGAATCACCAAGGTGCTCATGCTGGGATTGACAAAAAAATAAAAAAGTACAAAAGTGGAGGAACAAGAGAGAGAGACCAGGCTCATACTGGGAAAAGCACAGCAGAAACAAGCAATGTGAGGCTGGCTACCTGAAGAAGCTCTGGGCGGGGACAGGGTGGATCAGCCAGTCAAAGAGCCGGTTGGCCCTCTCCCTGCTGCTCTGAATCCTTGCCAGATCCACCAGCAGGGTGTCCAGGGCTGGCCCTTCAACCCCCTTTCTGCTCACCAGTGGATGTGCCACCTCCATAGCAGAAGAATGGGGGGAGGGGGGTTATACAATAAAGAACTAAGTAGCAATGACTTCCACCATATTTCACGGGAAAACACAACCGGTGAATATAAAAAGCTCAGATCAATATTTTATTCAGTGGGTACTTAATTGTTTCTGACATGAAATTGAATGATGCTGTTTCACTTAAAGGCAGGCAGGGAGCAAATAAAGTTAGAAGACCCGACACACTCATTCTTTTATAGTGACATTCAGCCGAGCAATTCCTAACATCTTAATTACTCAGAGAAGTGACTGCCATCTTTGCCCTTCAAAAACGCGACTGGGAGCCTATGGGTAATACACCCCCACAACCCCACTTACCGGTGCCGGCTTTGCGGTCTTTTCTTCCACATCGCTCACAACTGTGGAAGTCTGCTTTCTCTTTGTTTTCTTACTTGATTTAGAAATCTGAGCATTCTCCTTAGGCCTTTTTTTCTTGTGCGCAACCTTGAATTATTGAAAAAAGTTAGAAAAACGAAGCCACTTGGAAAGACACGAATACATATTTCAGTTATTCAATGTTTCTACATTCTGCTAAAGAAAGGAAAATGAGCAATGAAGAAGGACTGCATAAATAGTATAACAGAAATAAATAAGATGGTTCAACATTTTTATAATTTAAAATAGCGTTAGATGTTGTAGAACAAGAATGGGGAGTACATGTTGACCAGAGAATCTTAGTCAGTTAAAACTATATTGATGCATTATATAAAACACGTATGCCAAACAGACGTCTCGAAAGAGTGTCCTCATGTCAGAGTACTTCACATACCTTTAACGAAGACTGATCTTTTTCTAAAACCGTCCGGTATAGCGCAAAAGCAGACACACGTGTTTTCTCCATCACTCCGTCGCCGTTGTCTTACGTCATTATATCGCGACGTAAAACATGAGCGCACCTTATGACGTTTATGTTTCTGATAATTTACACTTTATATTTTACGGTGATTTTGTCAACGATGTACGCTTGCGTTATATGACAAATTTAATCGGCATAACGAATCGTGTAGTTCATAGCTGCTGTTGCGTATTCAAAGAGTGAAATACACATTTCCAGCTATAGTTGTAAACTGGTTATGCATATCAGGATGTACGTATCCTGAAATTACTTGCGAAGTATTAGTTGATGTAAATAGTTTCAGTTCCTTGGTCCTCTTTAAAACATAAATGTATGTATTCTGTCTGCGTTATAGTTTACTCTGTCTTTGTCCCATTACCTGACCCAATACGTGCTAGTGAAGATAATGAACAATTGCCACTGTGTTTACATGTAGCATGGCATATCTGAAATGGTTTAGAGCTGAGCCAAACGATAACTATATCAGTTACTTAGAATATTATATTATTAAAATGGATGGACGAAAGGATGTCTAATTCTGGTGTAATAAGCTTTCTTTCATGTCACAATCCCACCTCTGGGCATCGCATTGACAAGGAGTAGGGTACACTGCCAGGTGCTTTTGGCAGAATAGAGTAGGATCACTATCTATATTTTTTCAATGGATCACTATCTATATTTCTTCAATGGATAACTGTAGACTTCCTCAGGTCTTCACTCTGTTCTGTAACTGCGTCTGCTATATTATTCACAAAGAGTTTGGATTCTGCTCTCCATCACTGATTCACCAATATTCATCCAAACAGCCTAATAGCGTAATGTAACTTTACATGATTTACAGTACGCTATCTTTGGAAGGTTACAAGGATGTAGCCTAGAAGAAAGTCACCCTTTACACAAGTTATTTCTAAAACAATTATTCCAATGAGCCAGCAATGGGCACAAATAAGACGCAACTTGATATATTAATATGTGGAGAGAATATATAGTTTACTCTTTGAATTAGAGAAACAAGCTTTCCCATCAATTACGAAAAACTTCACAAACAAATGGCTCTTCATCTATTTTTATTAGACAAGTAAAATGGACCAAAGGCAACGTGAGAGAAGACATTCTTAATTTAATCCACTTACACGTTTTAACTGTGCTATGCTCCTGTAAATATTTTGTCAATGTACATAAAAATAACTGGATTACTAGGTAATTATATAAGAAACAATCAATAACGTCTTTGTTTTAACATAATACAGCATTTATGGTAAGAGTAATACTGCCCCAAGTAGCAAAATAAAAACCCTGCTTTCTTTAATGGTATATATCCAGAATTGATGTCCAGTTAAATTAAGTTTGTTATTCAAATATTATTAGACATGTTTATGTTGCAGTGCCTTATTTTAGCTTTTTTTTTTTCTTTTTGTGTTATTGTTAAATGGGTTAAAATGCTCTTATTTCCTTCAGTGTTGTTCAGTATCCTGGTTCGCTTTGCGAGTCTTTGTGATAACAAGCATTAACACATCTTGTCTGAAACTCCTGTTGTAACTTCTGCCAAATCACTAATTTACAGAATGTAGTTGCAATCAATAGAAGAAACAATGTGGAGGGTGGATTTCCTAAAGCTGGTCCTTCCCAGCACTGTACGTGAGGGGAATCAGGGTTTAGTAATTTATTTCAGCTCACATTAACAAAACATTCACATACATGCACACAACTTTCAAATGTCAGAGCAAAATACCTCAGTTATTTAAGGGAAACATCTAAATCATAGTGAGATCACTTTTTGTGTGTGCAAACATAAACATACAATTACATGTAACAGATATATTAACAGCAACTTCTCATTTGATTTAGCAATCTATTGATCGAAGAATTTCATGAAGGGTCCTTCTGGTCGTTATATAATAATAGAAATGAAGGGAAAAGGAAACAATCCAACTAAATCTATAAAAATTAATGAGAGCAGTATTTTCCCTTTTTCTATTGACATTTATTGCTTCCACTTGAGAAACCTTAATTGTGACTGATTTCGCTGATTTTCTTTGAGTGAGTTTCCCAAAGCCTTCTTAACGCTACGTTGTTCGTAAGATCCATATTAAAAGATAAAACTCACAAATGACGTAGCGTTAAGAAGCCTTCGGGAAACTCACTCCATATCAGTGTCCATTACAGTTATTGTTGTGGCTCACTGGTAAATGATACACTTTATTTTTTGTCTAAAAGAATAATATTGGAGAACTAGAATCCGTAGTGCTGACATGAGAATTAAAAGTGTGTGAGAACATGTGCGTGTATGTGCATAGCCGCTTTCACACCGCCGGAACTTTTTTCCTGGAACAAGAACATTTTGCTGGAACAGGGGTCTTTTCTCTTGCTCACAGCGCAGGATCTCGGCCCGACTGTATTTCTCGCAGGCAGTTCCGGAACCCTTTTTAAGTACCTACTCTAGACTCGGTACTCATTCGAACGCGAAATACCGAGGGCGCGCTTACAGTGAAAGCTTGCTGATTGGTTGACCACAAACACCGACGCTAACTTGGAAATTACGCAAAGTTCAGAAAAGGAGCAAAAATTCAGCAGATAGAGTTATTTTTGTACCCCAGTCACATTTAATGAATCAATTAATATTTTTTTTGCTTATGTCTCCATATTTCTGCATCGGAAAATGTGATCGCTAACCAATATACTTTTGTCTAATATCACTGGTGCTAGCGGTGAAATTTAATTACTAGCGCTTATTAGCGGGATAACGTTTCGTTGAATTTTACTCCGTAGAAAATGAAAAATCGATCTGCTGGCCAGATTTAATAAGAATAATGAACATGTGGCGGGTCATATAAAAATATAGTAAAATTAAAAGGCTGTGTACGTACTGTTTTGATCACTATCGATCCCCCCCCAAATAACTAAATAAAGAGACTTATTTATCCTCCATTGTTTTGTCGTGTGGTTTTCGTATGAAGTTATGGGTGACATTTAACCTACGAACTTTTTGCGTCTGCCGTGCTTATTTAGCATAAAGGTCCCGGTTCCTATTGTGTTGTGTGATAGCAACATACGAAAGTGAGCAAGACTTCCAGGCCGAGGCAGCCCAGGGACCAGGTTCCTGTAGGTGTGACACCGCCTCACGTGCGTGTCTTGTGATGGTCTAGCATCACATCCAGGGTGTGTTGTGCCCTAGTCTTCTTGGGATGTGTCCCAGGCTACCATGACTCTAACTGTGGATGGATGGTTAGATATTTATGAACCTAAATAATTATAAATAAAACCTTGGATCATAAGCCATATTTAGCCAACCACAACTGGATTACAGTAAAAGAGGAGTTTTATGTAGAGTGACTTCAGAAAATTAGGTTCCTGCAAAAGATATGAGAGTTTATTCTATTTTATTTCAAACACTCATTTTGCCCTTCAATATATACAACCTCTTCAGATTTAATCAGTAGAAATACCAAATCAAAGACAAGCAGTCAAAGAAGCAGGAATTCCAGCACTTAGCCTTGAAAGACGTTTTATTGTTCTACTCTCAATCCAGGCTGGGATAAGCTTTTGACAAATATTATGACAAATGTTAAATTCAAATAAATATTAAAACACATCTATGCCACTTTCCCTTCTCAAAGTAAGGCATGTCACCACCCTCCATTTAGCAAGTCAAAAGTATGCATTGTGTCAGGCATTTAAGAAAGGATCCACAGAATGAAATATCAACTGTCATTGACACAGGTCCTGCACAAGCTCTATGATTAGGTCCTATCTCTGCTATTATCTGCTGTCTTAACATGATTATTCATACCTGTCACAGAGGACACCTGGGAAATATTACTATGAAATTTCTATTTGTACCTTCAGTCATTGAAAATTGTAACGTAATGCAATAATTACCATTACATCCGACAATTATTTTCGAACCAAAATTGTTGCATATTCCTCCTCTGTGTTGTTCGTCTGGCGTGTGTATTACACCACGAGTGTTAAAACTGCAATACTGACACAATATTATAACCAAAAATAAATACATAAATAAAAATCTCACAAACATTTATAGAAAATCTATATTGAACAGTTTGGTAACGTGATATAAAGTTAATATGGCATAGTAAAAGTTTGCATCTCCTGAAGGCATGTTTGTATTTATGTGAAGTTTGATGATAAATCCTATTACAAATGACGCACGTGTTATTAAACCAAAGAAAATTTGTGAAAATTTGCAATTAATGACTGCCATGGTCAAATTAAATTACTTGAAGCACTGATGCCTTGACAATAATAGTATGCAGATAAGTAGGCACCCTGTTACATTGTTCTGGGTAAGGTAGCCTACTTAACTGGAATTATACCAGTAAAATATCTGAAAAAAGGTAAAACTTTAGTGAAATTCTTAGCTGAACATTAGATAGATTTTCTCCAACCGACATATTTAAGTCTTTACCATAAAGTAACGAAAGGTTGCGATGGAATTAACAATCGGACGTGCCGTTCGAACATAGCCCCACCATAAACAGGATCATGCTTACTGCCATAAGATGATGGGCAGCAATGGGCCAGAAAGTGAACATTTCAAAGCACCGTGTTTGCTTCAGGCGTCAGACCTTTGGCAGCTCTGTCTTTGAAGACATATGAAGCTTTACCTTTCCGTGCCGATTAACGGGAGCTGGGATGCATATGTTTTGAAGCACGTCTGTGATCTTGGAGCCGCCGGATCGACGTCATACATCCCAGGACAAAATAAATGAGATAGAAGCCATCCGGTGGTGTTCCCAGAGTCACCTTCATGAAAGGCAGGCTCATTTGTCACCTATCACGATGTGACACAGCTACCCGTCATCATTTTCTGCTCAACGTATGGTCCCCTGTCTCCGAGTGTACTTTTATCGCTTTATTTCTGATGGTAGAGTTATTTAGCATATTGGGCCTCTCGGCGTTGGTCCAATCACACGGTCTGATAGAAGCCGTCATCTTGCAGGTTGTTCTGCTCTGGCACCTCACGTGCGCCACCATATCTCGAGTTATAGTCAGCATGGCGGAGTGGGCGGTAAGGATCCGTCTGGAGACCCTCATGGTAGTCCGTCCATATTACCTGGATTTTCAGCCATCGTGGCGAGTGATGGAAGTATAACAGGGACACAGGTATGGTAACAATGTTAGTTTTGCTCCACCTGAGTGTCATGCTCACTGTTGTATTTACTTAAAAAAATGGAAAAATCGATTGATTTTGCCAAAGAACACACCGTCGTACATTAAAAACACAAATTTTTATCCCTTATACAATGAAAATGCATTAAAACACAAACCAAAATAATTCATATAAGGAGCACAGGTGGTATGTTGGCTCAATGGGTAGCAGTGTTGCTTCATACATCAGGGGTTGGGTGGTGGTTCAATCTTGCCTCCAAAGTCATACTGTGAGAATAATTAAAACCCTAAATTGCCCATAGATAGAATGGCATCTCAGCCAGGCGGTAGCCCAGCTTTGAGCTGAATGGGATCGGCTCCACTGACCCTAACCAGGATAAACAGCTAGATGTATACATTAAAGGGTATGTGACTGACCCTAACCAGGATAAACAGCTAGATGTATACATTAAAGGGTATGTGTTT